ATTGCCCCGGGCGGCTGGCTGCATGCTAGGGGGCGGGGAGGGGCATTGCACTGCTGCCCGGCCCGGCCCGGCCGCGCCCGTTGCACGCCCGGAGGCTGCAAACCGGGGGGCGGGGCATGCGGCATGCCCCGCCTCCTCCCCGCCTGTGCAGCGGCCTGCGCTTTGGCACCACCTGCGGGGGGGAGGGGCGCGAGGCATGCTGGGACTTGTAGTGAGGAAGCAATTTGCATCCCGGTGGCCGAGCTTTCGCAGGGGAAGTGGTTAAAAGGCGAGCGGCCGGAGGGGCTGGAGCTCATTTGTATGCTAGCCAGGCCCTTTGGGGGCTGCCCTTGCGCCCCCGCTTGCAAGCTGACTGGGTAGGTGGGGGGGCTGGGGGCTGCTCTGCCAGCGGGGACCCCCTTGCACGCAGGGGTGCGCCCGGGGTGGGGGCACGGCTTGCAGCTGCCCCTGCCCGCGCTGGGACCCCGATCCCTGCAAGCCTTGCAGCGGTCCCAGCTCCCCAGGCCACTGCCAAGGCCCCTGTTGGCCACCGGTTTAAGGGGCAAAGTGAGGACGGGGGGCTCGGCAGCTCGGCTGCCCTGGGCTTGCCGTGGGGCGCGGACGGGCCGGAGGCTGCCAAGCCCCTCGCCCGCGGGAAGGGGAAGTTCGGGCTCTGCCGCTGGCGGCGGGGTAGCTGTTTCCTGGCTGTCCGAGCTGCCTTGTAAACGGTGAAAGGCAGCGCGGAGCCGAGCAAACGACCTGGGAAAGGCTCAGGGATGCTCCCGGGGCCCGTGTTGGTCTGAGACCGGGAGAAAGGCACAACTGGTTAGGGTTAATGGTCAGGGAAGCGGTTACTTGTGTCTGGAGCCGGAGCTGGAAGACCTGGGCCGCGAAGGACCTGGTTAGCCGGTGCTGACTCGCCCAGTGGGTCGCTCCTTGTTCCTGGAGAGGCTGAAGAGGAAGATGCCCGGAGAAGCGGGCAGGGAGAGGCTTTTCTTTGTTAGCTCTAGACAAGCAAAGCCAGCGCAGTTATAGGAGGTGGAGCGAGACCAGGCAGGCTGGTTTGGGGGCCCGGACAGCTGGAGCCTTGGGGCCGGGGGTGTCGGGGACCGGAAGGGCAGGTCTCCCAGTCCAAGGAGCCAGGGAGCCGCGCCGGGCTGGATGCAGAGGCCCGACGAGGCCGGGGGGAGTCCAGTCCGTCACACCTGCCTCTCTTCCCGCGGGCAAGGGGAGGACGGGCGCCTGCCACCTCGCAAGCAGGGCTGCTCCCAGGCTGCGCGCGCGGTGTTGGCGATTCCGGCTTTTGTAACAGTTCTCGCTCGTTCATTTGCACTCGCTTTTTAGGGCAAATAGCTCGGCATCTGAAGCTCTGCAGCCTGGGGCAGGGTGGGTGGCTCTCCCGTCCCGGTCGGGCTGGCAGCCGTTTGGCCCCTTTCGCCCTTTCATTTCCAGACGGGAATTCCTCACAATTAGCAGGGTCACGTGACTAACGAGCATCGTGCTGCCATTTTTTAATTTATTTTTTAAAAATACTTCTTCCTGCCCATACAGGCTGCCTGAAGCTTTGCCCCGAGGCAGCGGCGCGCAGGCATGGAGTGCCCTCGGTGCCACTTTGTTTCTCAAGATGCTTCTCCCAACTTCTGCAGCAACTGTGGGCTCCTGCTGGGACCCTCCCTCTGCACAGGACCCCCCACCACGGACAAAGGTAGGAGGCCTGGGTGGGGAGGGGTGTTTGGGGACCGCAGGATCCCTTGCCCCGCTCTGCCCCTGGCCTGGGTCTGCCCAGGTGACCCCTGCCCTACCTGCCCCTTTGTGTTCAGGTGGGTCACGTGACCTGGCCAGACAAAATCGGGGCGGGGGGGGCTCTCTTCTTTCCCAGA